AGTGTAGCATTGGATGCTGAAATTTCTTACTGCTTTCTTTGACTTTACCATACACTCTATGTAATAGTGGTACAACAAATGATTTTACAAGATGTTCTCTAGATGATTTAGGTAATACTACTCTAATATTGTTTAGGAACCTAACACATGGTGTGGGTGTTTATGGAGTAGAGATCAAGTGCATCAGCCCTGAAGCTGAAGAGACATTCCAGCTATTAGCCAAGCCCAGTCTTTCTCTAGCTGTTTTCATCTGGCATGATCATTAATCTTTACAAAGACCAAATGAAGCAGCTTGTGACAGTGTTTGCCCTTGAACTGTGCTCTATTCCTTGGGAGCATTTGTTTGATCTTTTCTATCTCACATCCAGGAGACCAACATCCCATAAGCAGCTGGGCCAAAATATCCAGGACAGCCCTTGGTACAAACAACATGTTGGTGTTCTTGCCACAACAGAAGTCCAGAAGTCTTTTCCAGTTACTTTTTCTGAAACTTTAGAAAGTGTAGTGGATAAGCAGCATATGATACATAAAAAGTCCTTTTGATTCAAAAAATATGTTGGCATATTCACTAACCACTTTATTTGCTGTATCATAAGTGTAGTAAGTGTTTGCTCTGTGTAGAGTTAAATGTATCATCCATCTTGGCTGATCCCAGATCAATTCTCTTTCTCTACTCAGCAGCAGTTACCTCAGCAAATCCCTTTAAACCTTGGTTTACTCACATGAAAACACATGGGACCACCATGTTACATGTGGTGTTGGTGTCTTGGAACCCTCCTAGAGGTCAAATGATTTTCAGAGAGCCTGACGTTTATAAGTCCAAAATTTTTGCTGGCTGACATAGTGTGCATCATTTAATAATTCTACTAGTTAATACCCATTATAAAAATTATCATATGCAGATAACAAAAAGAAAATAGAAAGCAGCTCTAACACCTACCCAGAGATCATCTCAGTGTGTTCTTACAACACCTTTTCGTCTTTCATTTTGATTATAATAGACATCTGAAAAAAATGTAGAATGAAATTCTATATGTCAGTGATCATTAAAAGAGCACACCTCACATTGATAATGGAAAAAGAGGCTATAACAGAGACTTTTTTTTTTTCTTCTTTGCAGTAATGGGGTTCGGACTCAGCTTGGTGGGCAAGCCCTCTCCTTTAAGGCATACCATCTACCCTTTTTTGCTTTAGGATTTTTAGATAGGGTCTTGCACCTTTGCCTAGATGGGCCCTGGACTGTGATTCTACCTCCCAAGTAACCGAGATTACACATGTAAGAAATAGTGCCTGGCTTTCTTTGATAAGATGTTGCTAGTTTTTTCCCCTAAGTTATCCTTTACTCATGATCTCCCCAGCACTATGGCTACCTCCCTAATTAATAGCTAAAATAACAGGCAAGTGACACTATGCTATCTCAACAGAACTCTATTACTATAGAGTTAATGCCCTAGTATTTTTTATCTGTGTGCATATGCCTCAGCTCTTCTGTTTTAGCAACTTTTATTGCTTCCTCATTCCTCGTTTAAACTCCAACTTCAACTGTGTCTGTATCCACCGGGCAATTTTCTTTTCCTTAACTCTAAAGAGTTGTCTATCCGATGGACCTTGAAAAGAAACCTGACCCAGTTAGAATTTTTCGGGACTCAGAATGCTTTGATTCACAATCCTCATGATTAAGCTGCAAACCCTTTTTAGTTCAAAGAAGGTTAAATCACTAGGAGGAGGAATGTCAAGAACTAAATTGTTTTATACCTCCTCACTCAAGAAAAGTGATTTATAGTACCTTCTCTGTAGAATATACATTAATTTTCCCTAGTTCTAGCCTGACTGGTCTCTGTCTGAATCTGCTGCCTCTTCATTTTGTGGCCTGAGGCTAGTACACTAAAAAGATTAGTTCATTTCCGAGGAGTTTCACCTTCAAATCAAAGATTATTAGACTAATGGTCATTGATTGTTGTGTGTGTTGTCCTGAATTCATATGGTTTTCAATTTTTGAACTTACCATGGTGAATTAAAGGCTACTGTTAAGATGTGCAATCTTGGCTGGTAGTGTGGCTAAGAAGCAGAACATGTGCCTAGCATGTGCTGATTTTGGGTTCTATCCCCAGCACTTGGGGCAGGAAGGGGATATTGAGTTGCCTTCCCTGGAAGAAAGGCCATAAATGTTGGGTAAAGGTAGGAGTTAGACAGTGTGGGATTTGGGAGTTTTTTAGTCACAGGATATCTTTGCCCTGAAGGCAAGTACACAGTAGCCACAGACAGAAACATGTGATAGAGACACAGGTGGGAAGGTGGCCACAGGTAGATACATAGGACACTGAGGTTCTGCCAGGCAAGAGAAGTAGAACTATCCATAATGATGTGAAACAGGACCACTTCTGGGTCAGGCTTCCCAGGGCTCCTCCTGAGGCCAACTTTATTGATAGGATGCTGTGAGTCCAGTTTATTAAAGTGTCCTGGAGTGATCAGACGGTCAAAAAGAAAGTTAGGTATTGAGAGGTTAAATTATTAGCGGTGAGCAAGGTTTTTTCCCTATGTGTTATTAATGATGTTCTTACTTAGGAAAGTGTTGCTCATTGGAGGGTTGTTTGTGAGTGCTTGGCATTATTGCCAGTGCTGGCGTCCTTCCAACCTTGGTAATCCTCTGAGATTTCCAAAGAAAAGAAATGCTCTATTTTCTGTTCTTTCTCCCTGTAGGGTGATTGGTTTACATATAATTTCATTATTTTGTTAACCAGTGATCACTGTGTACAAAAACAATCTTAAAAACCCCTATTTTTCCATTCTGTGTTAAGATCTTCACTGTTGGTTTTCCACCCTTCCGAGTATTATGTGTTAGCAGTGAAATTTCTCCCTAAAAGCTCAATTGGACTATTTCCCATTTTTGCAGGATGTCCTTGGAGTCTTGCACAGTAGTGTCTAGTAACTTAGAGTAGTAAGTAAATGCTCAGCTTTGGAAGAAGAATTACAGTCTTGAGGAATCCATTGGGAAGTCATGTCTTAGATCACCTTGGATTATATTTTTGTCAGTACGAATCTAGGAAATTCCTTGTTGTGGCCAAGGAATAAGGAGGGAATTGCACTGTCTTGTACCAATCTCTGACACCATTAATGTCTCCTTTTAGTTGATAGTCTTTATTCATAGCCTTGCTTCATCTTTCCCCATCATGCCCTTGATGGGAAATTTTCTTTCCTGACAAGTTGCTATACAAACTTGGTTATTTCTGTAGTTGTGGACTTGTGTGAGCTCACTCTCTTTCTATTTCTTCTTTTTCTCTCATGGGGGTGTGTGATGGGTGGGTATGGTTGAAGGTTTCACAGTCAAGTCTTAGATCCATTTGAAGTCTTCGTGTAATAAATATACTTTATAGGAATGTTTTATTGCTTCCATTTACAAAAATTTAATTAGAATTAAATAATTTAATCTGGCCTCAGACTATAAGGTACAGATGTGTGTGATACTGCTAGAGCAGCTGGGGCTTCCTCCACTGACAGGCTTCCCGTCTGCCTTTTTCATTTTTCTCGTCTGTGGAACTCAACTTCCTTCCTTTCCTGGTCATATCTCCCTGCTGAAAGGCCCTAGTCATTAGACCATCAGCCCCCAAGGCAAGTTAGTGTTTTCTCTTTTTTCCTGAGCAAAAACAATTTTAGCTTTTCTTTGGGGAACTGTTTTTGAGTCTCTGAAGTTATTCCCAAATATCATAAAGTCTAATTTTGCTCCACAAGAAGAAAAACCATATTGCACATTTTCTGTTCAGGGATTTGACCCTATTTTGGTTTTGCCTAGTTGGAGCGCTACTACTGAAGCCATGCCTCCAGCCCCAATTTGACTCTCTAAACTTGCCTCTCACTGCTTTTGGATCATTAGCAGTGGCAGATGATTTCATGCACATAAGGCCAATTATTTGGGATCATAGTAAAAATCACCTTGCATCAGGAATAATTTCTAGATTAGTTAAGCTGGCAGTTTCTTTAAAAACTTACCAGATCTTGAGGGTAAACTATTTTCTTGTCTGACTGATTTTTCTGACCCCTGGGCTGTGGTCCCTTCGTAGAGCTGCTACCTCAGTGACCTTCCAAAGACATTCTTACTCTGCTAAATCGAGGCCCACCTGATTGTAGAAAATTGATTTTCAGAGCATTTTTGCAGTCGTCGCTAATAATGTCATTATAGTTTAGCAAAGAGTTGATGAAATTTTTGTGGCTATTTTAAACAAAGACCAGATGTTATTTCTCATTTTTTTTTTACTAGAAATTAAGTTTCCTAATTTTCTTTGGTAACCTTCATGGAAGTAATCCCTATGAAATGTAGCACTTTCTTTGCTTTTTCTAGACCCGTGTGCACTGACAAAACAATCTATCTTCCAGAATGGTTCTCACAAGCACACCAACCGAATAACCCCCTTTTTGTTCCTTTTTTCCTCTGATAGCCTTTCTTTCCCACCTTATTTCTTGAGATAATCCGAACAGCCAGAAAATGAGAGAAAGCTTTGACCAATTTGTTTTAAATGATCAGTTACATTCCTGAATCCTCAGATAGTGATTGAGCTCTGCAGCTCCAATGCCATCTTATTTCCTTTCCCCAGAGTGCCAGAGCATATAACAAATCATCCCTGTCTGCTTGCTAAATGGACACCAAGGCACCTTTGCATTCTCATTCCCCCTGTGGCAGTGATGGAATTTTTCTGCCATCAGCCAACCTCTCTCTAGAATAGAAGTGTGACCACTAAATGATTTTTGGAATCAGTCCCCGTAAAATGCTTTCAGGACAGGTGTGAAGCTTATTCGTGTGCTCCTTTGACCTATGCTGAGGTTTCACTGATTGGGGCACCTGCATCTGGATGGTTGACTGAAGTCCTGGGAGTTTGACTAAAAATCATATCCCGCATTAACACAGTGTTCATTCCATGCCAGGAATGTCCTCAGCCCTTTATAGGTGCATTAATCCACTTGAAGATGAGCCACCGTACTTAGTATTGATGATTGATGTTTTTCAGGTTGAAAATTGGTGTCCTCATTTACCTTGGAGAGCAAAAAATCCCTATGAAGAAGCTGATCATAATTCATTGGTAAATGATTTTGGAAAACTCTTCCTAGACTTGTGCATTTATGTCAGATGATGAGCGATACAAGTGGAGTCTCCAAGTGCCAGCCGTGGGGTGAAATAGTGTTCTACTAAAGAACTGTCACCAGTCCTAAGCCCTAAGTAACCAAATCAATCAGCCCGTTAGCATAGATTTATATATTGAGCAATTCTCTGTGGGTCCTTAAATGATGGGCAACTGATAGGAATAAGACCCAGTGCCAGATGTGGAGGCCCTTGGTGATCTAATGAGAGGGGATGATTATAAATAACAGCCATGTCTGTCATAATGCTTTAGTGCAGGCCAATGGGAATTAAAGAGGAAGAAGCAATCTCAGCCTGCAGAAGTCAGGGTAGATTGCATAGAGAAGATGACACTCTAGCTGAATTGAAAATGATGAGTGACTTCCTATGAGGTCAGGGGGAAAAGGAGGTCTCCAGTATGTGACGGTGAGCACTTGGTGTTGTACAGCAGGAATCAGTGGGCAAAGCCAGAGTGTTTTGAATAAACTAGGTTTAAGATGACAGTCAAAGGTAGGAAAGAGACTATGAAAACCTGTATGCCACCTTGAGCAATGAAGTCTATTCTCTGGGTGTCAGCGAATGTTTGCTTTAAAAGGCCAGATCCTAAATATTTTCCTTTTTGCAAGCCATATAATCTTGGCTACCGCTACTGAGTTTTGCTATTCCAGCAGAATGGTTGTAGGTGATACCTACGTGCAAATTGTAGCTATGTTCCAATAAAAAACACAAGAACAGACAGTAGGGAGGATTGCCCACATTCTCATGGTTGTCTGACTAGAGTTGAAGATTTGGGGCGTTAGGAGTCTATGGAGACAGGGAGGGAGATGAATGTTTAGAGTAAACTATGGTGACTGCTGGAAGATGAGCTCAGTGTGTTTTAGGTGTCTTATAAAGTAAGAACTGCTATTATCTTGTTCCTCTTTTCCAATCACTAGTTGAATCCTATATTATCCAGAATAACAGGGGAGTCATGGTGGGGGGCAGGGAAATACAGTTCTTGGATTATAAATTATTCTGGCCTGAATTTGAAGTTTGTATTCTGCTGTGGTAGAAACATAGTATTTTGGACTTTTAACTTCCTTAGAAAATCAGACATTTTGGTGGTTTGGACTGTGACATAATATTAGATGAGCATTTATTCCCACGTTTAACTCTGGACAGAAAGAAACTCTATGGCAACCTACATGATGTCAGAGAGCCTGTTCAGAGCTGACTTCAACTGAAGTCAGTGGTCTGCTGCCTAACAATAGATCTGAGTGGCACAATCAATTTTGACACAGAGAATTTCAAGGTGTGTCAAGAATACTCACTGTAAAATTGGCATTTTAACATGGCTCAGGGGTTTTCAATGACTGTTCTGCCTTTCTCAATTTCTAATTTTTTTTTAATGATGTCCCTGATAGCAGTTCAGCAGTCAGGGGCCTGTGTTTCAATTTGCAGACCTGTGACCCATAAGTAAAAGCGCTGAAGCAAGACAAGACTCAGTGTTGAAGCCTTAGATTTAATTGACTCTCTCTTTCAAGTTTTCAAATGTCACATCAGGAAAACTGTTTTTGCTCTCTGGCTTTTTATCTTCTATTCATTTTATTAAATTTCTGTTTCTAGGCAGAAATTCGGACGGATTTTAATATTCTCTACAATATGATGAAAAAGCATGAAGAATTCCGCTGGATGCGACTACGGATCCGGCGAATGGCTGATGCATGGATCCAAGCAATCAAGTCCCTGGCAGAAAAGCAAAACCTTGAAAAGAGAAAGAGGAAGAAAGTTAGTTTCTTTTTTATTCGCTTCCATTAGATGCCAGTTTCCTTTTAAAACGTGCTTTTGCTTGGAAAGAAGACTAAGAGAAAGGTCATGTGTCAGATGACATTCCCTGAAGAAATTAGATCAGCCTTTGTACATCCCTTTCTGGGTTTTTCATTACTACAATACTCCCATTAGGGGAGACCAACACAATTTCTCAGATATTTTAAGCAGAATATCTGCTTGTTAGATTTTCTCTAGACCTTTCTGATTGTTTCTCTCAGGTTACTGGAAAAAATTTCCCCATTTTTTTTTAACCTGATTCTAGCCTTTGAGAACTTCCGGTTACATCATCAGGAAGCTCTTACATTTTTGTTACCTGTTTTGTGTTTTGGGCAGCCTGTGAATTTGCATTGCTATTTCTGTTGGGTGATGCTTTTATTGAGGATTTTATTGGAGATTTTATTGAACATGAGTCTATTTCAGTTCATAAGGTACTTAGGAAGAAATTTTCTTTTTTTATATAAATAAGGTAATGAGTACATTTCTTGTTGAACTTGTTATCCCCTTTCTCATTTTAGAAAGACATTTTCTGAAATGTCCTTGGGCTTAGAAGTTCTTGTACTCTATTCATTCTAGCTTAGAAGCAACATGGTATTGGATTAGCTGTTCTCATTTCAGAATTAAGCAAAGTGAATAATATGCTCCCATATCTAAAAAGAACTACAGACTAAGTTTAATAGTGATTGCTTGACTAATTAGTCCAGCAATTAGATATTAGATATTGTTGACAAGCAAAATAACAAATACATGTCGTAATACTCACAAGCACAGGTTGATATATCAGTCAGTTTTGCTTGTTTGTAAAACAACAAAACCAAACATTCTGGTACCAAGAAGTTGTGTATGGGAAAACATATGGCCAGATGTATCAGGTGGGCTGGAAAAATAGAATGTTTCCACGTTTCCTATGGATTTAATCCTTAGAATATATCATTAGGTAAAACAAATCTAAGTAAAGAATAATATATATATATATATATATATATTATTTTTGAAAGGGAAAGGGAGTTACATCTACAATATATGTATAAGCATTTACCTACACCTGTATAGTGCATAACTAATATGCATATGCTTATTGCTCATATTTTTACAAGCTGAAGGATAAACCATAAAGTTAAAAATAAAGGAGCTAGGTATCAGTGGCAAATTCCTGCAATCCTATTTACTCAGGAGGCTAAGACGTAGGGGATCCTGTCCAAAGCCAGTCTGGGAAGCAAAGTCCAAGAAGCTCTATCTCCAGTGTGCCAGCAAAAAGCTGGGCTAGAGGCATGGCTCAAGTGGTAGAGAGCTAGCTATTAACAAACAAGTTGTGTAACTATGAAGCCCTTAGATTAAAGAAGAGAGGGGGATTAATAAAGAAGGAAGAAAAGGAAGGAAGGAAAGAAAGAAGGAAGGAAGGAAGGAAGGAAAACTAAGCTAGGCATTGTCATTGCATGCCTATAATCTTAGTACTTGGAGGGTAGAGGCAAGACAAGGGTAGAGACCAGTCTTAGAACCTTAACAATACCCTCTCTCAGAAATTTAAAAAAATAAACATAAGTACTAAAGTGGATGGGGATGATGGTTGTACAACAGTGTGAATGTTCTTAATGCTACTGAAATGAACCCATCAAAATGATGAATTTTATGTTATGCGTATTCTGCCCCAATAAGAAAATCAAAGGGAAGAAGGCAATGGAGTATATCAGGTAACAGGTATCAAAACTAAACATCTCTGAGGATACTATACCTTGTAGATTGGATATTGGAGCCGTTTTATATAGTGGGAAAATTCAATTTTAAAAAGCCATACCTAAAAATTATAAGAGAAGTAAAATAGATCAAATCTTCCAGATTTGATATGGGCTGAGAGGGGAAGATAGTATTGAAGTCTCTCCAATACTATCAATGGAAACTTTCAGGTGGGCTTATCACTGAGGACAAAAAGAATAGCAAAAATATGTTAAGCCAATTCCTTCCCTATACTGTGTGGAATCTATTGTGAATATTGAGATGCAGCAAATGAGTAATTACATTTGAGAAGTGGGATTCTCATTGTGGAAGAGAAGAAATAAGAGCTGTAAAATGAATAATGTTCTATAAAGGTTTGAATTGGAAGTAACAGTAGTAACTCATGATTTATTTTATCTTTGAGGAAAATTAATTTTCCCAGTTAGAGACACTAAAAAGCCTCCAAACAGTAATTAAGTAGAGTCCCTTAGAGTCTTTGATCTCTAAATGCTCTTTGCACTAGGTGGTATATAAAAGTTCTTGGAAAAATGGCTCGTTATAGTCTGAGACGGGAATTGTGATAAGCTCAGAATATTTTGTCATACCCAAGAGCTGAGAAATTACCAAAGGCTGCTAGGACTGTGTCCAAAGAATCAAGGAATATCTGGGCACATTGGCTCATTCCTATAATCCGAGCTATGCAGGTAGCTCAAATCAGAAGGATCATGGTTTGAGACTAGCTGAGGCAAAAAGTTTATGGTCTCTGTCCTTGGACAAAAAAGCACAGCCCTGTTTGAAAAATAACTAAAGCAAAAGGAACCTGGATTGTGGCTCAAGTGGTAGAGCACCACTCTGGCAATGGCAAAGCCTTGAATTCAAACTCTAGTATTCACATCCCTTCCAAAAAAAATAATCGAGCCTACTGGAAAAAGTTCTTACTGGCCAATTTGGGATAGATTTGATAGGGTAATTTATTGGACTACATTAAGTTATGTTTATATCATTATTATTATACTATTTATATTTATCATTATATTTATATATATATTTATTTTATATTATTAAAATTAACCCATTGGTGGCTTACACCTATAATCCTAGATACTCAGTACAATGAGATCTGAAGATCTCCATTTGAAGCTAGCCAAGGCAGAAATGTTCATGAGACTATTACCTCCAATAGACTAGCCACAATCCAGAAGTGAAGCTCTGGATCAAGTGGTAGAGTGCTAGTCTTGAGAGAAAAAGCCAAGCAAGAGCACAAGGCCCTCGGTTCAAGACCCAGCAGTACTGGCAACAGATTAAAAAATAAGCTAAAAAATAAGTAAGAAATAATTAAAAACCTCAAAGCATGGTTTGAAACTTATTCTGAAAACTAGAAAAGAAAGTGAAAGAATATACCAGGCTAATTCCTTACAAACTGTATCTCATGGTGACCAAATGTCTGAGAAGTAATTTTTTTCATAAATAAATGAATGTTAGACTATGTATTGCAGCCTCATACATTAATGGGACTATTTAATGATTGTTGGTAGTCACTAAGAGCCAACACAGACACTCCGATATCATTCCCACCAATGCAAGCACACAGCATCACCTATAAATTGTCAGGACAACTGAATCAGAACTTGATCACATCTGAAGACCTAATTACTAATTCACCATAAACACAAGGCATGGAATATCCAGTATCACAATCCCTTGGGATTGCAATCAGCAAGAGAAACTATTGAAGTTACAACTCAGTGTCTCTGACACACATACACACATACCTTGCTCCAAATGAGTACTAGGAAATTACAGAGCTTAAAGAAGATGAAACACCTGAGGCAGTTATACTGTGGATACTCTTGACCTCACAATCTCCCAAAGGTCAGTTGAGGAAGTACAGATATTAACTGGCTATCAGATGATATTAAGAGTTTAGCCTGTTTGGTGTGGCTTCATATTTTAAGTGAAGGTTTGAAGTATGTACCAACGACAGATGTGATGTATAGAATTAACCTCAAAACAGTCTAAAGAGGTTGGGATAAAAGAGGTTATAGATTAAATCAAATCGGCCATGAATTAATAATTGCTAAAACTGTGATGTAAGTTCTCTTGGTATTGACAGTATTCTCATATCTGCTTTTCTGTGTGTTTGAAATTTGCCAACTTTGGGGGGGAAAAAAGCCCAGATTGCTAAAATATTCTCTATCGTCAGGCTTAACTTTAATTCTGACTTTAACTACCCCAATGTTTGAAAGCAGAATAATCTGTCCATTCCTCACACCCGTGGATGGCCATACCAAAAGCTGTGAAGGCTGTATTCTTTGCAAATATTATTTCCTTCTTCTTTTTTCCTAGGGAAGAAAGTGGCACATCTCATATTGAGATCACATCAGGATATAAATGCAGCTTGAGAAGTAGTTGACTGCTTTGTGGAGCTTTATTATGGACTTTGTTCTTTGATTTGGTGAAATTTAGTATATGCCTCTTTTTTTAATGTTTTCTAGGTTCTTGTTCATCTGGGACTCCTGACCAAGGAATCTGGTTTTAAGATCGCGGAGACAGCATTCAGTGGAGGCCCTCTTGGTGAATTAGTTCAGTGGAGTGATTTAATTACATCTCTGTACTTACTGGGCCATGACATTAGGATTTCAGCATCACTGGCTGAGCTCAAGGAGTAAGGAGATTACTTTTCAATTTTAAAATCAGAATACAAAACAAAAAAATGTAAACTCTTAAAGCCCTCTATTAGTGGATAATTTCTTGGGGAGGAAAATAAAAGTGATAATTCACTAAAAAGGAGATAAGAAGATTATTTTCAGGACCTAAAAACATACACTATGAAAAGGATAATATGTTTTCATTGTAGCTGCAGGCTCCCCAGGCTTCCTAAATGACTGCCAGAAAATTCAAACTAAGAAGCTTATTCTTTGCTGTTACAGGTGCTTCTAGCATCTGCAGCACAAGTCATTATTGACTTTCCTAATTCCCTGTCTCTTGCTGAAATTCATGCCATTCCCAACTCAACATCAAGCTTTCTAAAGTCTGAAACAGGCAGGTTCTTGTTTATAATTTAATTTGGATACAGTGAACTTCCTGAAAGCCCTGATCCAATCCTTTTTCAATTAGCCAGCTTTCAGCTCCATCTGTTAACTTTCCCAAGTCTTCTGTTTCACTGAAATTTGCAGGGAGCTCTCGTTTTCTCTCAATCCCTTCTTGATTGACATAGCTGGCCATGCAGACATTTGGATCCTCTTTCTCCCAGATACTACCCAGCAACTAAATGTCATGTTGCAATGCCAAGTATCTTCAGAAAGAAAAAAAAATGCCTTGGATGAACATTCTAGAGATGAGAGGTGTCTTAAATGCATGTGCATTCCACCCTGGTCTTTCCTGTATTCAAGGAACTGATGGCAAGTTAGTAGATGTGTATTGAGATGAAATCATTTGCTGATGATTTTTACCTGTCATGTACCATCATAAAAGTTCAGTTGTCATGGTAATAGCAACAATTATGACAGTCATAACATTGATGAAAGCTATTAACTGCAAACTGTTGTGCCTCAACGTATTGTGCATCAGATGCTAAACACTCTGTTTTATCTTATTTGGTAGCATTGAGAAATAGGTGCTGCATTTTAAAGATGGGGAACTGAGGCTCAACACAAACATGAGCTGTCTGAGCCTTAAAGGGAAGACCCAAGAGTTGAGTCCTCTGTCTCTTTGACTTCAAAATGGGTTCTGAGGTCTTCTGTGCCTTAATTGTCCAGCACTGTTGTTCCTTTACCAGGCTGCCTCCTGTTGCCATCTTCCCGCTTTATGAGGTGCCCAAGATTCACCCTGTAAGGTGGACATATTACTATACTTGCACTTACTCACCCTGCCTTCTGTAGCCTCCAGAGATGACCAGCATGTGGTTAAGGATCTGCCAATCTTTTGATTATTGCAATTAATGCATTAAATAATAATTACCCTAATTACAATTCTGGTAGTACTAATTGAAGTGTGGATGCTAGAATATAAATGTGGTAGGCAGGAAACTGAATCTTACCCAGCATGAATGCCTAGCACACTGGGGGTTCATCAGATTGTTAAAGGAAAGAAGGAATACAGAAGTGAGTTAGTTGGTGGCTGGATTATACAAATGGGGCACCACAAAGTTCAAGAAACAAGAACTTCCTGGAATGCTCAGGGAAGGCATATAACCAGCAGAGACTGATTTGATAGTCAAGGCAAAGTTGATCCTGGAAGCTGATAGTGGTCTTTGTATACATTGGCCTCAGGGCTAGATGGATTTTATTTAACAAGAAAATGATGGAAGCAACATAAAACAGTGGTCCCCAAAAGTGCCTATACATTGAAACACCTTTTTTTTTAGTTTTAGAGAACTCTTTGAAGTTTCTAAATGCTCATCATTTCTATAACTAATTAAATTGCAACATCTTGGAGGTAGGATTCAGTCTTAAATATTCTGTGATACCTCCCATTAATCCCACTGTAGAGATGCGTTTGAGGACCGCTGAGTACAGGGTGAACCAGGGGTCAGCAAACTGTGGTTCAGTAGGCCAGATGGACCCCACTGCCTGTTTCTGTAGTTTCAGAATGCCAACAAACTTGTGGTTACTTTCTATTTCTGGCAGCTTTCATCCTATAGTGGCAGAGCTGAATAATTAGGACAGAGATGAAAGTGTTTATTATCTGGCCCCTTACAGACATAATTTTGCTGATTTTAGGAAGAAGTTCTATGGAACCTGACTTTGCATGACGTTACAGGAGCAGGAGGAGTGTAGCGCTCTTGAACTCCTCAAGATAGAAAGTCGTGCTATATATCCAGTTCTCTTTATTTTTATTTTCCTGTAAAGTGAAGTAAAGATTCAGGAAGGTGAAATCACTTACCTGGATTTCCTAGCTTAGACTGCTCTGCAGTGGCCAGGGCATTAGACTTACCTGGTGGTTGGTGTTTATGCACCAAAACTTGCTTCTGTAGGAGTGAGAAAGGAGTTCTGTCTTCCCCTTGATGGACAAGAGGAATTGAGTGAGGCAGCAGGTTTGGGAACATTATGCCATCCTCTCTAAGGAGTGATTTTTTTTTTTTTTTGCCTGTTGAATTTGCCAAGTTCAGTACCTTAAAGTTAATAGTTTTTTTTTTCTTTCTTTCTTGGTTTGCTCTTTTTCTAGAATCATGAAGAAAGTTGTAGGAAACAGATCTGGTTGCCCAACTGTGGGAGACAGAATTGTGGAGCTCATTTATATTGATATTGTAGGACTTGCTCAATTCAAGAAAACTCTGGGACCATCCTGGGTTCATTACCAGTAAGTGCTACATGTTGTTTTTACTTATGTTAATGATCTTGTTTTTTAACCTTAAGAAGGATGACATGGTTACAAGTATAAAGACATGATTAAATATCTTTCAGACTGTATGAAGTGGGTTTCTTATTTGTAATTGAAACTCGGGTTTCTCACAAGGACTTTCTACTTCCTAGAGCTATTCCTTATGTCCACTGATGTCATAAGAATAGAAAACAAGTTCCACCTTTCTCTTCCCTTCCCTACTATCCAGCATTCCCCTCCCAGCTGGTCTCACCTGTTTAAGCAAATAATGACTTTGACAGAATAGGCACAGTGTCATTTTTTTGTGGTCCTTTTGAGGTAGTGGCTCATTTCTTACCTTTGTTCTCATCAGTATTCTTGTCGTTCTTGGGAGAGAAGGCTAAGAGCCTGATATGACCATCAGGATCTTTTTTTGTCTTCTTCTTGGTGACACTGGACTTCATGCTTGCTAGGCAGGCACTCTACCACTTGAGCCACACCTTCAGTCTTTTTGCATTTTTTTAATTTGTTTTTTTTGTCGGTTGTGGGGCCTGAACTCTGGGCCTGGGCATTGTCTCTCAGCTCTTGAGCTCAAAGCTAGTGCCCTACCACTTGAGCCACAGCACTACTTCCAGCTTTTTCTGCTTATGTGGTGCTGAGGAATCGAACCCAGGGCCTCATGCATGCGATGCAAGCACTATACCACTGAGCCACCTTCCCAGCCCACTGGTTTTGTTTTTGAAGAAGGATCTTGCTTTTTGCCTGACTAGCTGGATAGCTTCCCACCATAGTTGGAAGGACAGCCTTTTCTGTCATGACGGTCTCATGAACTTCTTTCTTTCTTTCTTTCCTTTCTTTCTTTCTTTCCTTTCTTTCTTTCTTTCTTCTTTCTTTCTTTCTTTCTTTCTTTCTTTCCTTTCTTTCTTTCTTTCTTTCTTTCCTTTCTTTCTTTCTTTCTTTCTTTCTTTCTTCCTTCCTTCCTTCCTTCCTTCCTTTCTTCTTTCTTTCTTTCTTTCCTTCCTTCCTTCCTTTCTTCTTTCTTTCTTTCTTTCTTTCCTTCTTTCTTTCTTTCTTTCTTTCTTTCTTTCTTTCTTTCTTTCTTTCTTTCTTTCTTTCTTTCTTTCTTTCTTTCTTTCTTTCTTTCTTTCTTTCTTTCTTTCCTTTGGCCTGGTGTGGCTGCAAACTCCATTTCCTTAGTAGTAAGTATTACAGGTATGAGCCACCCTCCCTGGCTAGGTCTTACATTTTTTTTAAGAAAAACTTATGCTTACTATAACCATGAGATTGTGCATGTGTGTGTGTGTTTGTGTACATGTGCTTGTGCATGTGCGTGTGTGTTTGTGTACATGTGCTTGTGCATGTGCGTGTATGTGTATGTGTGTATCTGTTCATTATTTAATAGAGTAGCTCCTTAGTTCTTTGATTGTGGGTTTGAGACTATGATTTAGAGTTTGGAACAATTCTATGTGTTCCACACACATGGTGCTAAGTAAATAACACTGAATTATATAATGTCATTTATTATATTTTCAGTTTTCTACGAGGGATTCTGCAAAGAAGCTTAGTTTAGTGCTAATGCATTGCCAATATTTCTTTTAGCACATTCATGTGTTTTTAACAAAATGAGAGTCGCTGTGTGTGCTAGCCTTCAGCAGGCAAAAATCACCAGTTTTGAATCCCCCCCCCTCTCCCCGCAAGGGCTCAAGTTCTGGCCCAGGGCTTCTCATGTGCTAGACAAACACTCCTAAGCTACACTTCTACCAATACTTTTTTAAAATGCTTTTTGCTGTTGTTGTTACCTGCTGTTTGTTGTTGTTGATACTGACTTTGGTGCTCAGTAAGTTTTAACGTAATTATTAAAAACTGAATAAAGATCACATTTTATTTAATAGTGTAAAGCCTACAAGAATTTTAAAAGTATGAAGGCTGGTTAGACACTGTGCCAGTGGTAATTTAAAAAAAAAAAAACTAGCCTGTAGTTTAAAACTGCTTTCTAAGAGAATACTGTTTATTTTTTGTCACTACTGAATAGAAACATTTATTGTGTCATTGTTGTTTTTCCAGTATTGGGGATTGATCCCATGGCTCTTTGTATGCTAAACCATGGCTATATTTCCAGAGCTATACCTGTGGTCCTTCTGGTTTTATTTTTCAATAAGGTCTCTCACTTTCGACCTAGGCAATCCTCCTACCTCTATCAACACCTCCCAAGTAGCTGGGATTATGGGCTAGAAAGATGTTTTGGGGTGATCTTCTGTGTAAGACAGTTTTGCATCACTGTGACCAAACACCTGAGCAAAGCAGGAAGGAGAGATTTACTATGGCTCATGGTTTCAGACCATCAAGGTAGGGAAAGTATGGTAGAGCAGAGCAGATCACATTATGATGGTCAGTAAACAGAATTCTTGTGCCAGCACATTCCTTCTTTCTTCACCTTTATTCCATTCTTGCTGCCAGCATAGAGGATGGGTACCACCTACACTCAGGGCAAGTATGTCTTCTTAAGAAATCATCTTATATCCAGGCATTGGTGGCTCACACCTGTAATCCTAACTACTCAAGAGACTGAGATCTGAGGAATGCAGTTGGAAGCCAGCCTGAATAAGAAAGTCTCTGAGACTTATCGCCAATGAACTGTCAAATCTGCTGGAAGTGGAGCTGTATCTCAAGTGGTAGGACTAGCAAAAGAAGCTCAGGACAGTACCCAGACCCTGAGTTCAAACCCCAGGACTATCCCCCAAAAAAGAAAAGACACACTTAGAGGTGTACTTTGCTAATCTCTTAAGTCACTTTTTGATCCAATCAAATTGAAAAGATAACCATTACATCTTTTAATTAACCAATAAATGAATCCAGCTAGCCTATAATATATCTTTCTCTTTCAGGTTTAAGTTTGATGTTATTAACTATAATCTTCAAGGTTATATGAGTTTGGAATTCCTGTAGAAATCAGAAATAAGAACTGAAAATACAAAGGGTCTCAAAAACATAGAGAAGGGATTCCATTGTCTGCAGAATTTCCTTGCAATTTTTTTCCCTAGCATCAACAGTTTTCTCATTCAACAATGAAATATTCACAGTAAAGAGATTGATGCAGTAGAGATTGTTGATTGAATGAATGGTCTTTCTTTTGGATATAGATTTCATTCAAAAGGAAAAAAGCAAAATTAGATGGTTGGTTTGAGCAAGAATCATACTCTACTTTTTGCATTGTGTTTTTTCTTTTTCTTGCATTGTTCTTTCCCTTGAAGTCTTCATGAATCACAGGCTATCATATTTGTTCTCACTTATCTGGAAATAACTATCTTTCTTCTTGGTTAATAAGCCATGTAGTAAACACACAGATTTTTATTTAATCCCACAGACTTTAAAATCAGGGCAGTTGTTTTCTGGTATTTTGTGTATGGCAGACATGAGAAAGCTGGACCATTCATTCCTGCCCTGACTTTCATGGACTATTTGAGCCAGATGCTAGGAGCTAATGTCTATAATCCTAGCTACTCAGGAGCCTGAGATTTGAGAGTTATGGTTCAAAGCCAGCCTGTGCGGGAAAGTCCATGAGATTTTTATCCCCAATTAACTAGCATAAGGCTGGAAGCAGAGCTGTGGCTTAAGTGGTAGAGCCCTAACTTCCACAAAAAAAAAAAAAAAAAAAAGCTCAGGGATGAGGCCCAGGCCCTGAGTTCAAGCCCCAGGACCAGGAGAGGAAAAAAAAAAAAAGACTGTTTGAATAGAGAAATATTCTCATTGGTGGTGTCCAGATAAGTTCAGAAAGATAGTGTTTTTATTGCAGTGAAGTCACTACCTCAGAGGGGTTTTATGGAAGAGTGTAATGTTGATGTCCCTTCCTTTAATAACTGGTTGGCATTAGTAACCGTTGGTTACTCAGTCTTTTGGTTCTTTAGCCTTGAATCTTTGTGTTGTGACAAAATTACAATTCTATCAAAACACCAAAAATAAATCTTGATAAACTTCCTTGTTCACTTCATTCTAAAAATGAGTTGTTAGAGCTGTCTGAATTCATCTTGGGTGATAGCATATTCTGTAAATTGTATCATCAGATCTTCTCATTAGGAACAAGCTCTTTAGATCTTTGGTCTTGGGGAAATAGTTGTAAGTTCTCGGTTGATAGAGAGAGAGAGGTAGATATGTATGTGTGTTTGTGTACATGTATATATGTATACACACAGGAAATTCAATGAAATATTTGTTAAATATCAACCTATGACTAATATTTTACTAGATACTGCCCTTCCTCTTTTGCTTCATATGAAGGCTTAGGCATAGAAGACATGAAGGAAGTAAGATGAAAATAGTCCAAGATCTAGTGTGCTTTGCATCAAAGTCTAAAACTAGAAAGTAGGCCCTAGCTAGGAGCCTATAAACATCCATCTCATTTTAGTGTGTCCAAGAGCAAAAAGAAGGTTCCAGGAATCATTTGGCATTGCTCCTGAGGTCCCTGTTTAAGAAAAGGCAGCTGACTGGGACACAGGGCAAATATCTTTTTAAGTCATTCCTGAGACTACAGACACATGAAAGGTATTGAAAAGATGACATAAACATCAGCGCTCCAAACATAGTTCCAAAACAGTCATAGAAAGTGATTGAAGAAGGAAAACTGCAATGTTAAACCTCCTATCTCTTAGACAGAGGTCAGTTCCTTCTGCTGATTTAGAAAATAAGCAGAACCTCAAGTAAAAAGATGGAGAAATATAAGTTATGAGATTTACCCTATCATTGTAGTCTGCTATAGTTGCTAAGAACCCAGCCTCCCATTTCCTGTATCTCTGCTCTGTCCTGAAGTCCTGGCTTTCAGGAATTAAGCCTCTACTAGATAACTTTTCTCATCAAGGTTTATTTAGAAAAAGTAACAATAAGAAAGCTCCAAATTCTAGACCCTAAGAGTGAATGACAAGGAAGTGGAGGGAGCTGAAGCCTTCAAGGCAAAGCTCCATGATGCTATAATCTGCATCATGAAATGGCAATCAACACGTGTCCCTGCCTCTCCTACTCTAACTGCAACCTATACAGCTACCACCATCATCTGAATACTACCATCTTTCTCAGAAGAAAATGTACTGGCTCCACCCACTCCTTTTGCTTCTCATTTCAGAAAGGAAAACATATCTTAAGAAATGGGAATGTTATATTATGAAGAAAGAAAGGATCCCATTCAAAGAGCATGGTGGGAACAGAGCACTGATGGGTTTCTTATACCCCCCTGTTCTTTTTCTTGGACCATCTCCCTATTGGCTGGCAGGCTGATGCTGTCCTTGTAGATGCTGTGAAAATTGCCAATCAGCACCTAATGGTATATACCAAATAGTCCCAGATATTCAGGAGGTTGAAGGAGGATGTTCAGGCCAGTGTAGGCAGCATTTGCAAGACTCCAAAAAAATTGCTGTTATGATGAGGGCTCTTCAATGGAAGAATCACCTAAGAACCCTAAAGAGAGAAAGTTTTTCTTGTGGTTGCTTGTCTTTTACTCTGATCATTGATGATTCCTTTCTCCTCTTCTTTATATTGTCTAGAAAAAGGGCATAAGAAAATTAGGCCACAAAACTCATCATTTATAATTGTACTTCCTAGAAAAGTGTACTCTGGTGTTTGGATTTTATTTTGTTCAAAATTCTATATTGTCTGAGCACTGGTGGCTCATGTCTATAATCCTAGCTAGTCAGGATGCTGAGATCTGAGGATCCCAGTTTGAAGCCAGCCCAAGCAGAAACTGTGAGACTCTTATCTCCAATTAACCACTCAAAATCCAGAAGTGGCACAATGGCTCAAAATGGTAGAGCACTAGCCTTGAACAAAAGAGCTCAGGGAGAGTGTCCAGGCCCTGAGTTCAAGCACGCAACTGACAAAAAAAGGAAAAAGTTCTATATTGAAGTGAACATAAAAAATTATAAGAATGTGACATTGTCAAAAAAGAAATCAAAGTGAAAAAATTAAGGCAAAAATATGTATTTGTTGATATGTATTAAGACATATATATATATTCAATTCTCACAACACACACACACACACACACACACACACACACGTACGTTATGAGAATGGAAGCTAGGTGCCAGTGGCTCATGCTTGCAATTCTAGCTACTCTTGAAGGTGCGATCTAAGTATCATGATTCAAAGCCATCACAGACAAGAAAGTCTGCGAGGCTTTCCTGAAATTAACTACCAAAAAGCTGGAAATGGAGGTGTGGCTCAAGTGATAGAGCACCAACCTTGAGCAAGGGACAGTACCAGGCTCTTGAGTTCAAGCCTCAGTACTTGCATTTAAAAAGAAAGGAACAGGGAAGTAATTGAGTCAGCTCCTTAAAAGCCATGGCTACCATCTAATTCTACATTGTGGTCTTTAGTCTTTATAACTACTGATCCTTCTGATCCATTGGTAAAAGTTATTCAGGAGTATCATTGATAGATAAAATAGAGCTGTTTCTATTGGCCTACCATGAGCTTAGTATACATGAATGTTCTGTGAATCTGTGATAGAGTCATTGCAACCCAACTCAGAATATTTTGTTTCAGTAGTAATTTTTTTATTCCTTTATTCCAGTTAGTCACTCTTTGTGTTCTCTCAAAGTGACCAGAAAGCTGTTGTTGTTTGCTTTTAAAGGGCCACCTTTAAAGCTCAAGCTTTGGGGCTAGGTGTCCACCCCAGCATATTACAGCAGGAAAGCAGTGGCTAAGACATAGACTGTGTGTGAACTGCACTGCAGGATGTGGCTGGAGCCAATAAAACTTTATTTTGAAAGTAAAAATAGGACTTCCATATAATTTTCATGTGTCACAAAATATCCTCACTCTCTGCTGTTTCTAATCATTTTAAAATGTGAAAACAATTCTTAGCTCACAGCCAAACAAAAAGAGATGGTAGGGAAGATCTGGGCCTCTTTTAAGGCCTTGGTGGAATAGCTCCATGAGGTTTTGTGTTTCTTTAGGCTCTAGGAAGAATGAACCGTTTTGTTAGATACAAGAAAAACCCACCAGTGCCTATTAGATGAGATTCTTGTCCAACAGAATACGTGAACCTGAGTAGATTATAATAAAAAGTAATTTTATATCTCACCATTCTAAAAGCTAAAAAGTGCAAATCAAGGAGCTACATAAAGACAGAGGTGAGAGGGGTGTCACAGGGTGAGGGAAGAGGATCAAACAAGCCCAGGTCCCTTCCTTTGCTTACAAAGCCATTAAGGGCCACATGGGGTCCATCCTAAAGATTTCATTACCTCCAAGATTTAATTACCTCCCGAAGGGCTCATCTCCAAATTCTATCACCATCTAACTTTGAGGACTAACTATAGTAACTATGAGGATTAGCTGTGAATGTGAACTCAGACTATAGCATAAGCTTTACCCATTTCCAGCTTTGTGGTGCTTGTCATTTCGATGGCATTGGATTGTTCCTTTCTGATGCATCACCTATCTGAAGCAACTTCTGTCTACTGTGTGGTGGCTCCGGTTCTCAGGTGCACATGGGGACTTTTGAGATGGAAGCTATACTAAAACCTTAGATAGTAGATGTCCCTCAGAGATAGTGTGCCTGAGGACCAGGCTTTGATTCTCCATACCACAAACAAACAAACTGGTATCTTAAAAAACTTAAGATATCAGTTGTTGGCTAGTGGAATGTTTTAACTTAAAGAATTCATCCTTGGAGAAAAGGTTAAAGCTTTTTTCCCCTTGTGAACTTTCGGGTCCATGTTGTAGTCTCACACACAGCCCCTTTTTTCTTTCAGGTGCATGCTCCGAGTCCTTGATTCCTTTGGTACTGAACCAGAGTTCAATCATGCCAACTATGCTCAGTCCAAAGGCCACAAGACCCCCTGGGGAAAGTGGAATCTGAACCCTCAGCAGTTCTATACCATGTTCCGTGAGTATTCACCAGAATGAGCACTAAACACAGATGGGAAAATTAATAAGATAGCCACCTATTTGGGATTGGGATTGTCACAGCCCTTAGCGGAAGACGTGTGTATACTGTTTAACCTTTCCTTGGGAATAATTGATTTTTTTTCTTTAATTACAATGGAAAACCTGTGTGTTCTAGAGAAGTGTTTGACACAAATGATCATTAGAAACCACGTCAGAGAGGACTAGAGTCACAGCACCGCGCATGCCTCATGACACTGAAATTGTTCAGTGTCCCCTTCACGCCTAATAAGGAATGGGGTCTCTCATCTCACCCCACTTTCTAAACAGCCAATTCTCAGTTATTTAAGCACCAAATTTTGAAAGAAAACAATCTAGCCTTTCCTAAGTTGATCTAAGTTTCATACATTGCTAACTTTTTGGGGGGCAGGAGACAGTACTAGGGCTTATAAAGGGCATTGCACCTGCTAGGCAGGCCCCCTACCACTTGAGCCATACCTCCAGCTTTTCCTGTTTTCTCTCCTATTTTTTAAACAGAGTTTGATACTTTTTGATCCTCCTATATACACTTTGCAGGAAGCTGGGAATGCAACACTGATTGTTTTGGTTGAGATGGAGTCTAGTGAACTTTTTAAATTTTTCCCCCCCTATGTCTATCCTTAAATCACTATCCTCCTGATCACCTCCCAAAGAGCTATGAATATAGGTATGAGCACATCTTGGTGCCTTCCTGAATACTGGCCCCCAAATGACCTTTTTCCTTCTCTTGCTGACATGATGTGTTGCACTCATGCTGACAGACGAGAAGCTGACTGCCCTGCTGCCAGCCTCTTCAAAATTTGGCATTTGTGGGTATTCCTGTCCCCTAGCCACCATTTCTTCCTGTTGATTTTCCTCGACTTGTCTTCCACCGTCTTTTGATGTAGCTGAGGAATGTAAAAGCCAGGCAGGAAACTCGATAGCATCTGTGCCAAGCATAAATTTATTATCAAGACACCATAGTGAAGTTGAAGTTCTCTTTTGGAAAGAAGAGCCCACATTGATTGAGGTGCTCAGAGTAGAGAATTCCCATGTTCATCCTGAGATGTCCATGGGTTACTGAGATGTTAATCGGTTTGCTGGGTTGAGGAGACACCCAAGAGATCCCTGCAGTGCCTTTTCCCCTGGAGGGTCCAGAGAACACAATGGTTGTATGCACCCCATGCATGCTAGGTATAAGAGGGAGGAGTTGAGAACTGAGAGGGCCATAGCTTAAAGAGCTCATGCTCTGTGTAATGTAAACATAGCGTCCTGTTGCAAGCTGCCCCTGGAGCACAATTCAGGGCCCACCTCATATTCGGCACATTAGGTGACACATTAGGTGACATGAGATGAGAGTTAGAATTAGTCTGTGGTTTGGCTTTTCTGTGACACTTGGAGAAACTGGAAAGAGGGTCACCTAGCTGCCTGAGAAGTGGCCTGTGTGTTCGCTCAGTCAAGTGAAGTAAAATGCTACTATATCCAAAATAGCCCAAACTGCCAGTGTGATGTGGCAGGCTTACGCCTTGCAAGACATGGTTGTTAGCCCTATGCTTTGGTCTTGAGGAGAGAGGGTTCCAGAAAGTATGGAGTTCAGTTTTTACTGATCAGGGCTTAACCTCAGGGCCTCTAATTCTATCAGAGTTGGCCTCTATCACTTGAGTCATGACTCCAGTCCAGCCTTTTGGTAGTTAATTGTAGATGGAATATCACAGATCTTTCTGCTTGGGCCGACTTGGAATCCTGGTCCTCCAGATCTCAGCCTCCTAAGTAATTTAGGATTATAGGTTTGTGTACTCAGCTTAGACTTCTCTTTTTCAGCTGCAGAGTTTGGAGTCTTGCAAATTTGACTTTGCATTTGTTTTTTGGGGTTTTTTTGGTTGTGTTTTTTGTTTTTTGTATTTTCTGTTTAATGACTGGAAGATATTAGCAGTCTTAGTTGACTGAACTGAAAGAAGTTGACTATTTAAAACACAACCAAAGATGAAAACAAATTTATTTTAAACAGGGATGGAGGGATATGCTTCCTGATTATAACTCACAAATCAGGAAAATGAGACACATTTGACTGACTATAAACAAATTAAAAAGTACTTGCATGTCAAAATATTAACAACCACCTATAAATATCATAAGCAAACAGTGTTTTAACCATATATTCATAAGAGTAAGTATCTGTATTGTTATTTGAATGCCATTACAGAGATATAGTTGTAAGAGCTAGGATTTTCAGTATATCAGAAACAAATACCATATAATCTTCAGTTTGCATCCAAAATATTAATGAACTTACGCTTTCTTTAAAAATAAAATGTTTCACTGGAGCACTATTGATTGTATTCCTTGCAACTCAGGAGGCTGAAATCCAGAGGATCAAAGCAAAACAAAAAAAAAAAAAGAAAGAAAGAAAAGTCCATATGCCTCTATTTTCCAACTAACCAGCAAAAAGCTATGCTAGAGGTATGGTTCAAATGACAGAGATCCAGCTGAGTAAGCACCAGACCTTGAATTCAAACTCTAGTACTAGCAGGAAAAACAAAATACATTTAAAGTTCCATACTTTTAAAAGGACCTGAAGACTGGTAGTCAGACTGGTATTCCCTAAATGTATTTTCTGATTCTACAAAAAAAGAACCTCTTCCTAGAACAATAGCCAGTCACAGCATGAGACAAGGGAGTATTTAAGATTAGTATTATACCAGAAGGCAAAGCAGCTAAGAATGATTCCAGTGGTGCAGGTTGGGGGACAAAAGACCCCAAAGTGCAGTTGCTTAGGCATCAAAGAACACTGCAACAGACTGCAGTCAAACAGCTGAGAAATGACCAGTGGGTCCAGGGTGAATAGCCATGCAGGAAAACTCCACAGAATGCAGTCTGTCACTTTTGTAAGTTGCTAGGACACACCGCTCATGACTGCAAACTCAAGTGGAAAAAAACAAAATCCCAGATTTGATATTCCTGTCTTTTTAGCACAAATGATAGCTGAACATAATCAAATGGTTGATGAGAAAAAGTTGTTAATCATGGGAAAATCAGAGCTAATAAATGCAGTGGGAATGAGGAATTAGAAAATCAGCATTTTGAAACTTAATGAGAGTGGAGCAAGACATCATCAGTGCCTGCAAAACCCATCAAGGAACAGGTTGATGGAAAACTCTCATGGATGAAGCTGTCTTGAATGGAGGAAATATGGAAATGAGGATGGAAATAAAACAGTTTGAGACATTCATCATGTTGAGCTGTCTGGGCTGGAGAACATGCTACAGAAAACAGTATCTTCTGTACCCCACAATAAACTTGGATGCTCCCTTATCAGGGGTCTCTTTCCCACATGACAGAGTAGAGTCCCATACAGCTGGGTGACTGTGGCTGTTATAGTGGTCTGCAGAGAAAGACTATTTCTTCGAGCCTAAGAAGACAATGTCAGGGCTGGGTGTGGTAATACATACCTGTAATCCCAGCTACTCTCTAGGCGAAGGCAGGATCATAGTACAAGATCAGCTCAGATGAAAAAAAAATGTTAGATGCTGTCCATCTCAAAACAAAACTAAACAAAACAAGCTGAGCAGGTGGGGAACTTCTATAATCCTATTTACGGGGGTGGCGGAGGGAGTAAGATCACAGTCTAAGTCTGAAGCTGAGACAGTGCTAAGACTTATCTGAAAAATAACTAAAGCAAAACAGAGCTGGAGGCCATAGTTCAAGTGGTGGAGTTCAAACAAAGCCCAGTAGCATGGAAGGAAGCGAAGGAGGGAGGGAGGGAAAGAAGGAGAGAAAGGGAAGAGGGAAGAAAGGAAGCAGGGAAGGAGGGAATGCAGGGAGGGAGTCGAAATTTTTATTCCCTTTTTGAAATGAAACAAACTTGTGCATGTTTTATATATGTACGGATAGTAATCATTATGTAATTGTATAAATATATGTATAAATATGATCACATCGAGAGCATCAAGACTCATGCACTTAGATTGTTTTCTGTGATAGGAGTGCTGAATGAAAAGTTTGTAGTGTGGAGAAGCAAGGTTGTACATGTGAAATGGATTCCACAAGTCCAACCTCTTAGGAGGTTTCACAGCGTTCTGGCACAGGTGCAGCAGCGAACCTCACATAACATAAAGACATAAACAGATGGTTCCATGCTTCAGAAGTGAAAGAAAATAAGCTGGACTGGCACATGCTCACTTTCTTTAATATTCAGGCTGCATTTCTTATTTTAAGGCTTCCATTCCTGCTCTGACTTACTTCTCACTAAACCCGTAGGGTTTCTACAAGTTGAGAAGCCTTGTTTTTAGGTATGAATTTTCACTCATATCTCAAAGACGTTCACTGGGATGAGCCTCTGCATGTATTCTGTTTGCACTTGGGTGTTTCAGAGTGCACCAATGTGAATTCTCCCTGCTACCTTCCAAAGCAGCTTCCACAGGGATCAGGTGGCCGGGACACTAGGCCATTTGAGGAGGCTAGTAAGTCTGGTTGTTGTTCCTTCTCATCTCTTTTTCTGTTTCACCCTGGATTCCACTCTAGGCACTGGCCTCCACAACTAATTCTCAAAAGCCCAGCTTGGGTTAAACTCTTCCTTCCCATCCTGCATCCCTTTTTTCTGCCCATGGCTTGTGTGCAGACTCCATAGCAAAGTGGTATCAACCTCTGGCCTCAACAATCTTCCCTTCTCTTCCTTCTTGAATACTTCCCAGATCCCTTTGAAGACCCCAGACTCCTCACCTCTCTACCTCCTTCAAGTCACCATTACAGCAAAATGTGTTTTCTTTAAGACTCTATTTCAGGGACTTTTTCTCTTTCCAATCGAATCTAAATAGAAGGATCAACATAGCCATCTAGTATCTGTGTGTATAGTGCTGGGAATCAAACCCAAGGCCTTATATATGCTAGGTAGCCGCTTTACTATTGAGCTACTTCCCCAGCCCATGTATATATTTTACATTTTACTTTATACATGCTAAACTTTCACATCAGATTTTCCACTTA